CCCGTTCCCCAGGGAAGACGTCGATGGAGCTGAAGCAGCTCACGAGGAAGTTGGGGGTCTACAAGAAGCTGCAAAACCCCCGAACTCCTCCTCCGGATGCATCCAGCTCAGCAAATTCGGCATCAACGACACATATAGTCGTTAAGAAACCTCAGGGTCTTGAGGGAGAGACTTTCTCCAAACAGCTCCGTCCAGCTGCTAACCCACGACCAGATGGCAAGAAAATGGTGTGTGCGGAATATTGGGATGTACCCTATGATCCTATTAACGAAACTATCTTTGGGTACTCCGAGCAACGCCCGCCCCTCGTGCTCGAGGTCATCTGCAAAGGATGACGCCTCCAAGCACTCGTGGACAGCGGAGCATCGCACACCGTCTACAACAAGGCAATAGTCGACAAACTTCGGGAAGAGTACAAGTCTTCAGTATTCTCTGCAACGATGGTGGACGGGAGCAAGTTACCAGTACACAGCGAAGCAGTGTTACACCTACAAATCGGACCACTGCGCTGGAAACCAGCACTCCCCATCACCAACATAAAAGGGCTTGACTTGATCTTCGAGCGTGACTTCCTAAAAAGATTCAACCCCGAGATCAACTGGATAAATCATACCGCAAGCATCTACAACAAAGGGAGAAGAGTCCAGCTACCCAACTGGGACAATACAGGAGATATCCCTGTGGAGACACTCGCACGATTCGAGAAGGACGTAAAAAAAAACCAGCACCGGGTTTCTGGCAATAGCAATTGAGATGGAAAATGTCGGGGAGAAAACCTCGGAGCCTCCACAAAAAATCAAGGAATTACTAAAGGAGTTCCAAGACATTCCTCCTGACAACCTTCCGAACAAGCTGCCACCATACCGAATGCACCAACACGAGATCGTGGAAGAACCAAGTTCAAAGCTGACCTTCCGAGCACCATATCAGCTCAGCCCTACAGAGCTAGCCGATATGAAGAAGCAGATCGAGTATCTCCTCACAAAAGGACTCATCCGACCATCCACTTCGCCATACGGTGCCCCAGTACTCTTCACACCGAAACCGGACGGAAGCATGCGCATGTGCATCGATTACCGAGCTTTCAACAAGCAGACCATCAAGAACAAATACCCAATCCCACGAATCGATGACCTGCTTGACCAGCTTCGGGGAGCCACGGAATTTTCCAAACTGGATCTGCAGTCCGGGTTATGGCAAATACGAATGGCGGACAATTCCATCCACAAAACTGCCTTCCGAACTCGGTACGGGTCATACGAGAATCTGGTAATGCCGTTCGGACTCACCAACGCACCGGCAACGTTCCAAGCTGAAATGAACCATATTCTATGCCCACTCTTGGACGAATGCACGGTGGTGTACCTGGACGACATCCTCATCTACTCGCGCGACATGCAGCACCACGTCCAACACCTGCGAAGCGTCTTCGACATTCTCCGACGAGAACGATTCTACGTCAAGTTATCCAAGAGCAAATTCGCCCTCGAGAAAGTCCAATTCCTAGGACACATGGTGAGCGCTTAAGGAGTTCACGTCGACCCCAAGAAGATCGAAGCCGTACGCACGTGGAAGTCACCCGAGAACGTGAAGGAGTTGCAGCAGTTCCTAGGCTTCGCGAACTATTACAACAGGTTCGTGCCTCAGTACGCGAAAATCGCAACGCCACTCACGAATCTGCTGAAGAAGGACACGCCCTATAAGTGGGAACCAGAACATCAGGAAGCCATGGAGCAGCTGAAACAAGCACTAACGTCCGCACCCGTACTCATCTTGCCAGACCCCGAATGCGACTACGTCATCGAAGCTGACGCTAGCGACCAGGCAGTGGGAGCAATCTTGATGCAAGACCATGGGAACAGACTGCAACCAATCACCTACCTCAGCAAGAAACTACAAGGGGCAGAACTAAACTACCCGATACACAACAAGGAGGCCCTTGCTATTATTATCGCCTTCAAAATGTGGAGATGTGATCTCGAAGGTCGACTAACAACCGTCTACACCGACCACTGCAGCCTGAAATATCTGAAGACACAACCAAACCTCTCCAGGCGGCACGTCCGGTGGATTGACTTCCTCGAGACGCACTTCCACTACGACATCGTATACAAGCCCGGCCACAAATACAAAGCAGACGCTCTCCGTCGGCCTGCACACGTTTCCGCAATCCAAGTCAAAGGGATGAACCCACTTCTCAAGGGACTCTTCACACACAAATACGCCATCGACCCCGAATTTCCTTCGGCAGAAAAACAACACCTGCTACAGTGGGACAGTGACATCGCATACCGGAAGGGATCAACGAAAATCTGGGTTCCCAATTACCCTTCTTTGCGCCAGTTACTACTCGAAGAATACCATGATGTCCTATACGCGAGACAATTCGGTAGCTACAAAACGCTCACCGGTAATGCAAAGCACTACCACTGGCCCCAGATGGCAGCCGACGTCCAACAATTCGTCACCTCGTGTGCTACATGTTAGCAGATGAAGAGTAGCAAGCAGAAATAGCAGGACTGCTACATAACAACCATGGCAAGTGGTTAGCCTGGAATTCATCACCGAGTTACCAACAACCACTAGCGGTCATGACGCATTCCTCGTCGTCATTGACAAGTTCTCAAAAATGGGTAATGCTCGTCGTCCTCTTCGCGAATACCTTGTCAAGCAGGGTGTTACTTCTACCACCCAGCTTTGAGGGGGAGTAGTGTAAGAGTACGACCACGTTACACCAATTTCCCTTTCCATATCTCCTTTCTATTTGATTCGTCTTTTTCTCTCATCTCATTTGGTTTCCTATTTCTCCTATTCCATTATCCTTTGGCTTATCCTGCGATTATAATTTTATCACCGACCACGCTCGGGATGTACTGGCGCGCTATATTTGGCGTAATCCTGCTGTAATCCCTTAAAGCCAATAGCCTCGCATGGCTATACGCAGGGTGATTCTATTTCTAGAAGGGTCTATTCCCTTTGGATAAGATAAACCTGGTTACCTGATGTACTTTGGAAGTATAAAAGTCCTTGTATCAATCGATAGTGCAACTTGTCCTCGACATATTCGATCCTGTGACAGAAGGCATCCCACTCCGGTGTGAAGCTGGTGAGGATCACGGTCTTGAACAGGGACTTCGGGATCTCCAAATCAATTGCAGTGCCTCCTCGAACATGGTTTCCGCCCGTTGAAGGTAGGCTTGAGCGGACTCATCTTCTTCCAACTTTAGGCTCATGAAACGGCTCCACATCTTAGCTTGGCTGCTCTCTGACTTTGACTGGTGCATGGTTTTGAGCCTTTTCCATGCCTCCTCAGCACTGTTAGCCTTGGAAGAGCATGGCAAAAGGGACTTCAGCTGCTGCTCATGAAGGCTATTTAGAAGGTACAAAAAAACATCCTTGTTGCGCCACTCAAACAACCACTTCTCTGCTTACGAGGCATCTGCTGCTGGTTTTGCTGCTTCTCTGGTGTAGCATGGCCACAGATCGAGCAAAGACGAGGTCAACTCAAACTGGGTTGCCCATGTCTGGAAATCCTTGCCGTTGAACTTGGGGAGATGGAGTCTCAGCATTAACGGGGTGAGAGATGAGTACGCCGCCGAATGGATGGTTGGTACTGCTGCTTCCATAAATCCGGCACCTGCTGATGTTGATTCTGATGCTGCTGGGGTTGACTAGGTTGCTCAAACTAATGGTTGCTTGCCGACCATGCTTGGAGAGGCAAGAATTGGAAGGTGGCAGACTTGTGTGATTAAAATGATGGGCTCTGATACCAATTTAAATTTAGGGATGCTATGGGTGCTTGCTTACTCAACTAGAAACACAGCTAAAAGCTTTCTGGATGCTTGCTTGACTGGAAGTTCACTTAACTCAAGGTTGTACAAAGCCCTTTAAGGCACTTTCACTTTGACAAGACTAGGAAAACAGATTGCTAGCTTAAACTTGGCTGGAGCACAAGGCAAATCCCTTGGGAACTTGGGCACAACCTAATTGCGATGAACCTTGGCTAACTTGGGAGGCCACAAGAGGTGCATGAATAGGAAAATTCTGGATTATTCTACTGTATATGATTTTGTGGTGTAGAGCTCCTCGACTTTTCTGTACCATGCAGTTGAAATGCCTCCCGAAATCTATCGAACCTTACGCTGAAATCTGATTGGTCGCGGAATGTTCTCCATTTCGCCAACTCCCCAATTTTGCCACCGACATTTCTCCCCCTCGCTGCTGATTTGTACAAAGGGCTGGGGCGTCAGATTAACTGTTCCAATACTCCCCCTCACACCAGACCTGAAGCACACACACTTGTACTCCCATATCCTCATGAATCTCCACTTGCAACTCTTGGGCCTACACGGGAAAACGAATTTTTAGATTTACCTCTTCAAAACCTGAGGCGCCAAATTAAACCTTTTTACCCTGTACGGGAGCCCGTCAGCTTCAAGCCCTCAGCCACTATCTGTTCCACGCTGCAGGTAACCGGGTTGGATTGCATGCCTCTCGACGATCTCGCATCGCAACCCAAAGCTTGCTGTCGCCGGCATTCCGACTGGCTCATCCGCTCTTCCCGCGTCACTGCACATTTCCTCGCACCTTTACTTCGCTTTCTTCGCCGTCTGAAACTAGCAAACTGTCCACCGTTACAAGACAGCCGAGACCTTTCTACACACTTCACGAGTCTCGTTTCAGCAGTTGTACATCCTTCTCCCTCTGCGATCATGCCTCCCCCACTCCCTGTTTCGACGCCCAAGCCATCTCGTACTCCCGGGAGATTGCCCCCAGTAGCGCTACTCACTGCACTCGCGCTGCTCAATCTCCTCTTGCCACACCTTCCCCTCCGCGCCGCGGCGCAAGGCCTCGTGTTGGTGCCGCCACCCCCCGACGACAGCGCGCCGATCGCCGCACCACCTGTGGCAAGGCAACCCGCCGCGTCCTCTTCGGTCCCCCACGGCGACTTGCCACACGGTTCTGCTGACGTAGAAGGGGCCTACTCTGACGTGCCCTCGCTGTCAATCAGCCTGGCAAACAGCACGATCCCGACTCTGGAGCATGCTGACGAGGAAGTAATGGTCCCCAGGCTCGCGGGCGACGACGGGTAGGATGCATCGGGGAGCGGGCGGGAGGCGGGAGACGGGGAAGGGGGAAGAGGCGGGGGAAGGGGAGAGGAGGGAGGGTTCAAGAGCATGGATACGTTGCTGCAGTGGGCCATAGGTAGGGAATGGGTCTGAAGTTGGCTATGCGAAGGGGTCTTTGTGTGTCAGTGTGAGGCTTCTGGGTATTGACCTTGTTCTTATGCATAAATTGGAGGAACGAGGGGAGCCTGGGGAAGGAGTGGGGGAATGACAGCATCAGCCCAGGTGAGGGGGCGGGAGAGAGGAGGAAGGGGGTCGGAAGGCGGAACAGAATGATAGAACGGGATGCTCTCATCGAACACCACGTCACGGCTCTGTAGGAGGCGGCCTGAGGACGGGTGAAGGAAGAGGTAACCAGGGGCAGAGCGAGCGTGGCCAAGGTAGACACACTCAATGGCCTTGGAGGCGAGCTTTCCTGCCTGCCGAGAGCGGTCAGGTGGGGGGATGAGGACATATGCCTTGCAACCCCAGATACGGAGAATGGCAGCATCTGGCTTGGTGCTAGCCCAGAGCTCAGTGGGAGTGACAGACTGGCGTTGAGGATGTGGGTAAAGATTAGTAAGGAGAGCAGCATGGACAATGGCATAGCCCCAAAGAGAAGGGGGCGTGGAGGCATGAGTGAGGAGGCAGCGGGCCGTCTTGGTGATCTCACGAATGCGACTCTCAGCAACACCGTTCTGCTGAGGGGAGTGGGGAAGGGTATGAGTCTGCTGGATGCCATGGGTGGAGCAGTAGGAGGAGAGGGTGCGGTTGAGAAACTCACCACCGCCGTCAGAATGGAGGCGGCGGATGGGGCGACCAAAGTGGACTCGGCACTGCTCGGCCCAGGTAACGATGACAGCAGGGGCCTCGGCCTTCGTGTAGAGGAGGAACACCGAGGAGTACCTGCTGTGGTCGTCGACTAGGACAAGCACGTACCGGTGCCCTTGGCGGGAAGGGGAAGGGTTAGGGCCCCAGAGGTCCATGTGGACGAGGTCAAGGGGGGCAGCAGCAAAGGAAGGATGACTGAGGTGAGGCTGTTGTTTGAGCTTTCCATGAATGCATGTGGCGCATGGGGGAGCGGAAGAGGACGGGATGGGGAGTTAAGAGTGGGGGGAAGACCGTCAAGCAAGCGGGAGGAGACGGCTTTACGAAGTGTGGGAAAGTTCATATGACCAAGGCGGTGGTGGATGAGAACAGCGGGGTGGGACAGTGCGCGACAAGAGCATGGGGAGGAGGTGGAGTTGGAGGAAGGTGGCTCTAGAGGGAGGGGAGGGGGGAGAGTGGAGGTGCCTGCACGAGTGGTCACGTGGCATGAGGAGGGGCGGGGTGTGCGGAGGATGTACTGACGAGAGCGAGGGCAAAGTGGGAGGCGATGAAGGAGGCGGCGAGTGGGGCCGTGGAGGAGGTCACAGTAGGTGGCAGAGGCGGGGAAGAGGGTAGTGATGCCAGCCTGTTGGAGTTCACGAATGGAGAGCAGGTTATGACGAAGGGAGGGAATGTGGAGACCAGTGACCACTCCAGAGGGGAAGGGGGGGCAGGGGAGGGTGGAGAGATGAGTGCAAGGGATGGAGAAGCTGGAATCAGCACCATGAACGTTGGTGGGGAAAGGGAGGGAGGTGAGGGTGCCGGCGTCTTTGAGGGCAGTTTCAGTGGCACCACTATCGAGAACAAAGTCAATCGTGAGCAAGGAGGGAGCTGAAGACACGGGGTACTGGAAATCACTGGCATTAAAAACAGAGGGATACATGGAAGTGGAAGCAGGGGAAGAACGCATGAGCTCGCCTAGAAAGCTGGAGTGGGAGGCGGGAGCACTAGGGGAAGGAGAGCCCCAGAGGGGAAAGCCAGGAGGACCTGGTGTGGCTGTGGCAGCCATGGCGGCGGTGCCAAAGCCAAGCTGCTGCTGCTGCCATGCAGATGCTGCGGCTGCGGCTCCTGCAGCTGCGGCTGCAGCCTGACCACTAGAGCCCCACACTGACACACAAAGACCCCTTCGCAGCAGCAGCAGGAGCAGCAGCGGATGGAGCAGCAGCAGCAGCAGCAGCAGCAGCAACCGCAGGCAGTGCAGCATCAGCAGCCGCAGCAGGAGGTGCAGAGGCGCCATTTTCCCTCTGCATGCGTTCTTGTCCGTCCGTGCAACCATTCATCGGTGTGCCTCTCTTCTCATTCTCGCTCCTTCTCTCTGCTTTCCTTGCAACTCCTCCCCCCCTCCTCCCCCCTCCTTCTCTCTTGTTTCATTTAGCTGGGCTTTTGTGGGTTGGGCTATCGGAGCCACACTTAATTGGATTTAGATTGCTTATCCACCACCCACCCATCTTCGATTGCACTCTAGGCCACTGACGCAATGAATTCAGTCGATTATTCCCTCTCCCCCGCCTCCCTATTGAGAATAGCCCTGATCCTACAAAGGTTGCAGAAGTCTGCTGAAGCGGCATATCAACGAAGTCTGCGAGCATGAGCTCTGCAGAAAGGCCCATCGACGAAGAGAAGATTTGTCGACAAGGCGAGGCTCTGCGGGAAGTGGCAGAGGAGCAGTTTTCATTGGTGGCAGAAAAGCGGTTCTGTCGGAATGGCATAACAAGAGCGCTTTCTCTGCATATGGCTTCTACATCGACATGTGCTTTTGTAGAAGCGATCTCGATAGAATCGAGAGTGTACAAGAACCTCTGCCGAATTGGCACCAGGGGCCATCGCAGAAGGATTGTCCTCTGCCGAAGTATCGCGCAGAAGACATTTCTGCAGGTGACCCTTTCGGCAGAATCGACTCTCGGAAATGCGTTCCAACAGGACCTCGGGCAGAGTGGCGCAAGGACCAATTCGCGCAGAATTGCGTTCTGCCGAAGTCTGGCAGAAAGGCAATTCGGCGATCTCTTCTGTTATCGACCCCTCGGCAGAGACGAAATTCGGCAGAAGCGCGGCAGAAAGTCATCTCGGACTTCGCTTCTGCGAGCGACCCTTTCGACAGAAAAACGGGGACTTCAGTTTTCTGATGAAGGAAACGTTCCGAAATCGTGAGAAATTTGCGATTTCGTAAGTTAACCACAGAACCGATTTGGACCGAAAACGGCAAAATGTACCTGCGACATTGAGAATTTGAACACGTGACGCACATTTCGTAACTGCGGAAATGTGCGTAACATCTGACAGTTTCATATATGAAACTGTTAAAACAACTACCGGGTAAAAATTACCAACTAAGCATGTGCTGTAATTTTCACCTGCCATTGCTGACTTGGCTAAGTGCAGCTTAGAGTAGTTATGTAAACGTTCTCGTGCGAACGTTCTCTCTGTGTTCAATGAGGTTCAATGGGGTAGTACTAGTGCTTGCCTTGTGTACCATACTGTGTAAACTTGATTCTAGTGAATTGGTGTGCCCAAGCTTTCTCAAGCTACTCAGTAAAACACACAATTCTGAAGGCAACTCTCTCCTTAGAGAACCACAGAGCTAGCGAACGATAGAGGTCAAATCTACGACGTTAGGTCTCGTAGAAGGTCTCGATTGTCGATATGACGGACGGCAAGTCGGACGTCCGTGAGGTGGTCGACGATCTTGAGGCGCAGGAGGCTGCCTTGATAGCCCGTTATGAAGACCTCCCTGAGAAGGAGCTCAACTTCATGCTGATGGGGTTACGAGCTCAATGGGGGATGGATCATCCGCGGGCGCGTGCAGTGGAAGTCTCCCGAGACAAGGAGAACGTAGAAGGTTTGGCAGAAGGCGGAGTGCGAGAGTCGCGCGGTGTTCTACGAGAAAGAGAAACGCCGAATGGTGATGGATCAAGCGTGGGCGACGGAAGGGACCCTGCAAAGGAGTCAAGCTCGAAGAAGAAGAGTGCTACTGAAGAAGGCCGTTCTGGCGGTCATGACTGCGTAGACAACGCTGTCGATGGCTCTACTGCCTTTCTACCGACAGCCTCGAAGGATGGAGGGATTGCTCCTGAATTCGACTACTTCAAGTTTTCTCATGACAAAATCGTGGTGGCAAGGCTCCTTGAGGGACGTCACGACTTGGTGTCGTAGGTCGATTCCATAGAACCTCAGCTGGAGATTGCGCAATTAAGGCGATTTGTCGACGGGTCCACGAAAGCCCTTCCTGTATCGGATGCATCGCGGTACGCGCAGTTCTGCTTTGCTCAGCTGCTGACATTCATGGTGATCTCACGCTGCTGCTCGCCTGCTGTAAAGATGGCGTTGACGGCGAGTCGTCTGCGAGTGGATGCGGGCTACCAGGCATGGCGTTTTATCATGAAGACTTACAAGGCTACTGATGATCTCTACATCGGTCAGTTGGAGCAGAGTCTGGCAAGTCTGGAGATGGCTGAGTACAAGACTGCTACCGCCTACTGCACTCGTGCGCAGCAGTTGCTGGCTAATCCGCGGAAGACCGGAGTACGGTACTCGACGGCTTCCTACGTGACGCACGTCGTCAAGGGTCTGCCGTCGCAGTACAGCTATCTACGCCGCATGATCGAGTTTTCGGATGTGCGGAAAACCCTCGACGAAAACAATCTGACGAGCTACATCGTTGAGGAAGAATCTACCCTTGCGATCGAGCAGTGCAAGGAGTCTCCTCTGCCACAATCCAACTTGGCATCGACGGGACAACCACCTCGGCAGCAGCAGCAGCAGCAGCAGCAGATGCGATGGGCTTCTTCTACGAATGACTCCACCACAGAGCAGAAGGATGGCCGCAATGACAAGAAGAAATCGGCCAAGAAGAACAAGGATAGACCCTGCTTCGTTTGCGGTGAAAACGGTCACTTCGCTGCTCAGTGCCCAGATCGCAAAGGCAAGAGGAACGATGATCATTCGCAGAAGCGAGAAAGTAATCCGCCCTCTGGCGCACAAAGTGGTGGTTCTTCTGCGAGCTCTGGTTCTGCTGATCGAAAAGGACCCTCGTGTGCGATGGTTGAGCCGATCGTAGAACAGCAGAAGACGGACAATCTGCCCATCTCGTTGGATCCAAAGGATGGCGAAAACTTCCAGGCAATCGCAGCTGTTGTAGAAGCCAACCCTGTGGTCATTTTGCTGGATAGTGGATGTTCGCACCACCTCATGGGAGATGACAAGGCCTTCGTCGAAATACGCAAGGACGGCGAAATCCAGCAAGTTCGCGGATTTAACGGCGCCGTCCAAGCTGTTCGAGGACGAGGAACCATCGCTCTGCTTGGCGAGGCTGGGAAGAGGATTTTGGTCCTAGATGTACTCTACGTCCCTGGAATCCAAGCCAATCTGCTTTGTGCTGGGCAGCTGAAGGACTGCGGAGTGACGCTGAAGGACACTGGCGAGGAAACTATCATGCTCTCTACCGACGGCATTCTGCTCGGGCGAGCTTGATACAAAGGCCGGGTTCTCAGCACCAATCTGCAGCCATGGCCGTAGCAGAAGCCTGCGGCAGAAGCGATTGCTCTGCGCACATTGGCGACTGACGCGCGCTCCACTACGGACGTGTGGCATGCTTGTCTGGCCCATGCTGGGGTCGAGACGATTCGGCGGACCCCGGCGCACGGAGCAGCTACGGGCTTGGACATTGAGAAGATGTCGAGCACTGATCTGCCGTGTGTCTCTTGCGTCGGTGGCAAACTCGCTCGGCATAGCTTTCCGGCAGAAGGGAGTGACAAGAAGAAAGTGATGGGAGTAGTGCACGTCGATTTCTGTGGGCCCTTCCGAGTTCCCGCTAAGGATGGCAGCCGCTACTTTCTTCTGCTCAAAGACCGCAAAATACGCTACGTCTGGGTCTACCCGATCGCGCAGAAGAGTGACGCATTGCTCGTTTTCGGAAATGGCTTTCCAGAGCAGAACGGCAATGTGAGGTGACGCTGAAGGCTCTGCGCTCCGATCGTGGAGGTGAATTTTTTGGCAGACAATTCGTCGAATTTCTTGAAGAGCGGGGAATTGAGCACGATCTTGCATGTCCCTACACGCCGCAGCAGAACGAGATGGCACAACGCGAAATGCGGACTGTCGTCGAGGGCGTGAGGACTATGCTTCTGCACATGGGTGCTCTTCAGCATTGGTGGCATCTTGCTGCTCTGCAAGCGGTCTGGGTGCGGAACCGCCTCGAGCATTCTTCTCTGCCATTGGGCATCACGCCGTACGAGATGCTCTTCGGCTACAAACCTGATCTGAGAATGGCTCGCGTCTGGGGGTGTATGCTGTAGTTTCTTATTCTGCAGAACAAGCGTGGAGGGAAGCTGGCACCTAAGGCCCGATGGGCTCTCCATCTGGGGGTGTCGCAGCAGAGCAAGGGATGGCTGGTGCTTGATCTGGCGACCAATCGATTGGTCACCACGGTAGAAGCAATCTTCTACGAGACGATGTCGCTCGACGGGTGGACAGCCACGCGGAAGACTCCCACTGATGTCGTTGACCCTTCTGTCTTCGACAAGGCGGTATCATGGTCGGATTTGGTTGCAGAAGAGGATGAGAAGGCAGAGGAGGATGAGGATGAGGAAAATGTTCGAATTCTGCCATCTGTGCTGATTTCGACTCCTGAACCAACTCTGTCGTCGACAGTGCCTTCCACTGTCGAAGTTACTCCGTCCTCTGTGTATCCTAAGGCAAATGCTTCTGCCGACTCTCCGACTGTCGAAGAGCCTGATGCACCTTCTGCATGACCCAGCTCCCCCTCTCCCTCTGCGTCATCCTCTGGTGAGGAGGGGAGTGGGGAGCCTCTCGGCATAATCCCTAGTAAACAAGGCACGGCAGAGCGGCAGAAGAATGTCGCAGACAACCCGACCGCAGAGGAGCTGTCATCCTCTTCTGGGGAGCCGTCGTCCTCTGCCAAGGAGCACTCTGCCAATGAAACGCATGTGGAGGTGCAACCCCTCCGGCAATCGACGCGCTCTAACAAAGGTGTTCTGCCGGTTCGTTATCGTGCAGCGTTGACGGCATTCTCGATGAACGCCCTCGACGGCAGAAGCGAAGACGTAACACTGCCGGAGCTGGACTCTTTAGAAGATGGTGTGGTAGATCCGGAACGTCGTTGGGACATTTTGAAGATGCATGTCCCTGTCGCTCTGAAGAGTTGGAAGGGCCCTGCGGTTAAGGCAGCGATGGACAAGGAGATGCTGACTATGTGGGACCAAGGCACTTGGGACTTGGTTTTTCTACCTTCTGGCGTCAATGTGATAGGAAATCGGTGGGTTCTCGCTACCAAGTATCTCCCTGAAGATACAGTAGAGCGAGAGAAGGGACGTCTCGTCATTCAAGGGTTTACACAGCTGCCCAATCTCGACTACGACTTGACATATGCTCCAGTCGGCAGCTACGCAACTGCTCTTCTGCAGCTGCTCATAGCTGCGGCATTTGATTGAGAGCTGATGCAACTCGATATGACAAACGCTTTTCTTAATGCACCCATCGA